ACAATTTGAAGTCATTCTAGAAAGAAAAAGGGGTAATTTATTGGTTACGAGGTCGTTCAAATTGACCAACCTTGTATAAAGTTAGGGTAGTAAAAATAACAAATAATATATTAAGTTTTTCTGAAACAAACATTTGAAGTGTATTTAGGAGGTTTTGGAGGTTACACAAATGAAATTTGATATTTTTGAGATGAAAAAATAATTTTAATCTTAACATGAAAATCACTTTGCAGGTGAAGTAATAAAACAAAAAACTTGATATATTCCTGGACAAATCTTTTTTTTAGTTTATTAAAAATACTTAAGTAAAAATATGTTTTTTTGTATGTGAATGACATAATGTTTATTGAAAGTCTGCTAAATTTTCTGAAGATATACATATATTAAAAGCTAGTAGCGTCAAAACTATAAAGACTTTAAACGAGTACAACGAGGTCATGTGGTCAGTCAAATTGACTTATCCCATGTTGAGAGAGTTAAAGAATAGACTGAACAATTTCTTTTTTTTTTGTTATATTTTTATTTAAACAAGGATGATGTTTCGAGCTAGTGGTCTTCGTCAGATCTTGCAGCTTACAACAAAGGTGAATGTGCAGAATTCAAAGAAATTGTGTGCATAGTATTTGGAATGTTGAGCATGAAATTTCTGTGCAAAATTACATTTTTTACATAAATATTACGAGTCATGAAAAAATTGAACAGATTGCAATCAAATTTAAGCAAGAAATGGAAAAATGAAAATATATAGGTAAGAAAAGCATTCATTTAAACCAGATGGTTGTAGGGTCCCCAGTTTGTAGATTAATTTTCTTTCCAGTTATTCTCTTTTTTGAATATCTGGCGGAGTACTAATAAGTACAAGAATCAAAAAGTTCTCAGCTGTATGGTTGTTGATGGTGAAATGTTTGCCTGTAGGTGTATCTTGGTTCTGCAGTTTAATGTGGTTTAGATGTTCTCGTGCCTGATCACTGAGTGGGCGGCCTGTTTGTCCAGTGTATAAACTAATGCATTTTGTGCAAATTATACAATAAATGATACATTCAGTGGTACATGTAAAGGACTATCTTATGTCAAAAGTTGTTTTTTTCATCGTATATATGTGTAGTACTGCTTATATGTGGGCAGATGACACACTTGTTTTGTTTACATGTGTGAGTGCTTGGAGTATCATTTTGTTTTTGTTTAAGGTTATTGTTCACCAGGATTTAGTTTGTTTTTTCATGTCCGTACTAAATAATGGGGGTGGTCCTTGAAAAGAGATTTAGTGGTTAGGTCTTCAGTTAGTATTGTGTCAATGTTTAGTATAATATCTTTGGTCTTATTGCTGGTCTAATGGTATGTTAGCAAAAGTGGAATATGATTGGTGTGTTTTTTATTGGTGGGGTTGAGTGTTTGCTCCTGGGTATGTGAGCTAACTTTGGTGGCTGCATCATGGATGAGAGAATCAGGGTAGTGTCTTTTAAAAAAGAGTCATGTCTTTCGATTTAGATTTCTAGTCATTATCATCACTACATAGTTTGTATAGTCATAGAAATTGTGTGTATGATATTGACTTTTTGTTACTGTACCGGTGGGAAGATTTGAAATATAGGTATGTGAATGTGTTTCTTTGTAATGTATGCTAGTGTTCAGATGATCGTCTTGTATGTATATGTGTCAGATCTTTCCAAAGTAAATTCTAAAGAAGGATGGAAAGACATGAAAATTTTTTTTCTGAAAGACACTAGCCTTTTCTCTCTTCCACGATGCAGCTTGCTCATTTACCCAGGATTGAATGCTCAACCCTAGCAAGAAAGAACACACCATTTAGGTGAAGCTCAGACCACATAGAACTCAGTCAATCTTTGCATTCAAATCTGGATTTTCAGTATTTAAGGTCAAGTTCCAACCAAAGCCAACTTCTTGTTCTCATTTGTGAAGCAGTGTTTCCAACCTGACCGTCTTTTGATCCAGTTCCTGTTTTTCTTATATTCTGACTGGGAAGATGGATTCCTCATTGACTTTTAAACCCTTGCAACTGCTCCAGGATGCCCAAGACTTCCTCTGCAGTGAAGGCTGTGAAGTCATGGATTGTGCCGGACATATGCTTACCATTAGTGAACCCATACTTGCCAACACATCTGACTTAGGAGAGTTCGTTAAAACAGAAAATGGAATAACACTAATGTCTCCAAGGGCCGAGATACCCATAGCAGCTGATGAAAGTCCTGATGCCACTGGCAAGTCCTTAGCATTGTATCATCAGACTCAACACTGCTCTAGCTAGATGGAGCATAGCCTTTGAGTGGCTCAGCAGCAGGAATCAGTACCACAGTTGATGCCACCCATAGAACTGAAAACCAAGAAGCATCAGGGCCCTGGTGACTTGTCCCATCATAGGGTTTTACATCACCATAAGGAGAAAATGACAAATGTGCTCTCATATTTAATGAGATTATTACATTTCTAAGCCTAGAAAGAGCTTTTTGGTACCAAGTACATCTTGGGAGCATCCATGTACTGAAAGATAGAGGTGGGGTGGGCTCCAGCAAGGCTACTGTGTTGGCAGCAAAGACCAGTGCAGCTATGGTACAGACAAGCCAGGCAGCTTCTTCAGTGATTCCTGCTGTATGTGAAAGAGCCTCCACCTAGCAGGCTTGGCTCATTTGGATGATGCTACCATAATTAGCAAGGAACTGCTAACCAACAGGCCTCCAGAGACGTCCTAGAATGCACAGATTGTAGAACTCGTAAGCCACCTCTCAAGTGCCATTGCCAGAAGATGGCATCCAAATGGATGGCAATGTGAATCCTCTACAACTGGGAAGAAGACTGGCTGGGGTGAAGGGCCACTCCTTTATTAAGATACAAGGAGGAGGTCCAGCACCTGCAGGACAGGCCAGCTTAAGCTGAGTGGAGCCTGGTGAGAACCTAAGCAGACCTTGAGACATCCATGGCCACCAATTGAAGGACAATTAGGACACTGAAGGTAAGCAAAGTGAAGCCACCACCACATTCTGGGGTGAGTGTACATTTAAATTATAATTTCTATTGTATACTTTGTATTGAGGTTTCATTTAGAATGTCCTTTGCCTTCTATAGCCATGAGTGCATGTGAAAGATGGGGGGGGTCAGTGGTTTGGTATTTTGGGGTATCTTATAAGTGTTTATAGGTATTTCAATTATTTTTTGGGGTGCATAATATTGATAAATGTTTTTGTTACTTTTCTTTTGTATAATGTGTTTATGTTGTACCTATAATGTACCGCTTCCTGCTTATTTGCATTTTGATTGTATGTAAAAGGGTTGATTGTTGTACAAAGCTAAAGGTTCTTTTTTGTATGTTTGAATTTTCCATATGTAGTTACTTTTTTTTCTGTGAATAAAGATTTCTTTTTATAATGAGTAATTTTACTGTATATTTTAATTTTTGTGTTAACTATTAAAGGGCCTTGGCTTCATTAATTTTGTTTTGCATTAGACTGTGCCTTTCATGAGGGGACAGCTCTAAATTACAGTTAAAATGAAAATCGTAACATGTAATCATTGTTAAAGGGTTTTCTTTTTTTCCTTTTCATTTCATTTTAGTTTATTGACAAGTTTTTGTTGTAATATGTTAATTCTTAATGTGTACAGTGTATCTCTATGGTTTTCTTTTTTTCTTGTTTAGTTTTTGTTGATGTATGCACTTGCACTTTGCTTTATTTATGTTAAAGGGTTTTTATATTGTATTGAATTGTGTATGATCAATTTTAAAGTTAAAGGATTTTCCTTTTGATTATGTTATAAATTTTGGTAATGTTTGTAGACTGTAAACCAGTGTTAAAGGGTTTTTTCTTGTGTTCTAGTTAGTTGTAGTTCATTGTTAAAGGGTTTGTGCTGTGTACATGTTTATAGGAATAAAGTAAAGTTAATGTGCTCCTTGACTATGTCAAGAGTTTCAAGGTTATTGATTTTAAAATTAATTTTAATTGTTGTCTTGAGGACAATCCTGAAACAGAAAAGGGAGGAAAACAGTGATATGCAGGCATATGTTTTCTACCTGCTTTAGTTATTTAGGAATTTAAAAAAAAAATTCATTATTTGAATTATAAGCAGTTTTAGTGTAAATTAATGGTGTAGCAAGTTGTTTTAATTGCTTTGTTTCTTTGTTCATTATGGTCAATAATGTGTTAGAAAATACATTACAGTATTACAGTAACATATAGCACTCAGGTTAAAGGGTTAGCACTGTAATGTCCTTTGCTGGTGGAGTTGACATTGTTTAAATGTATTACCTGACCCTTGCTGTGAGAGAACAAAGGTCATGAGGTCTTGCTTTTGACAAGACAAAGACGTGAAGCTTACCTGTTGAATTAAAGTGCAGTTTCTTGGTTCAGTTCTACTAGGAGATCATTGAGTTAAGATACTTCAAGATTGTTGTGCTTATTTCAATGGAAGTTAATCTTGGGAAAAAGAAAGCTGTGGAGTTAGACACACGCAAATAGAAGCAACTGTCATTTCATATGTGTAAATACATATGCTGCATTTTCTTCTTGTTTGTTTTATGATAAAGACTGTATTTGTTTTTGTCAAAATTGTCCAATCTCATTATTTCATGCACAGTAAGAAAACAGTTATCAAATTCAGAATTACTTTCCTTATTTTCTGAGTGAATCTACCATCTTAGGTGGATCTGTCTATCTCATTCTTGTAGTGAAAACAATTTTTACTTGAAAATACCAGAATACAACAGTACTGATGTTATGATTACAAAGTTCAAAAGGTAAAAAAAATAAAAATTGTAATCCACACAATTTCAAAAGTTGTCTTTCCTTACTGCTAAATAATACATTGAGAATTTACGCATAAAATAAATATTAACATTTCACTAAGAAGAATTTATTTTGTATAGATGAAGAATAATACTGTTATATATTGCTATGTCCAGTTTAAGATTGAAAATTTCTAAGGTTGTAAAAGTTTTGAAATGTCTTAAAGAACATAAAGCAAGCAGCTTTTAATATGATTATTTTTTTCAGGTATGCAGATACCCTAGTGCAGTTAGACAATGATCTGAGAATTCCACCTAAAGGCTGGAAGTGTGAGAGATGTGACAAGACGGATAATTTGTGGCTCAACCTTACAGATGGCAAAATACTTTGTGGCAGGAGATTTTTTGATGGAAGTGGTGGGAATAACCATGCTGTTGATCACTTCAAGGAAACAGGCTATCCCCTGGCAGTGAAACTTGGAACTATTACACCATCAGGTGGAGGTATGATTCAAATAATTGAATTTCTTTGATTTATAATCCTCTAAAATGTTATGAAGTTATCAATGATAAAATGAACTGTAAATTTTATAAATATTTCATTATGTGGAAGTATGATAAAAAATTGATTTATAATCATCTAAAATTTTCATGAAAACTTCTCTAGAAGAGTAAACAACTGTGTAAATTTTATCTATATATATTGTTTTACACAAAAATATATGTGTTTGTTGATTTACTTACCTATTTTTTGGAAATTATAGGAGATGTTACCTGTTTTTTGGGGTATGCATTTTTGTTTCATTTGTTCACAAAGTGTTGTTAAAACATAATTGAGCAGTAACAGCTAGATGACCTTGTGAAAAGTTTTATGTTGTAGTACAGTGGTCCCCAACCTTTTTGTTGCCGCGGACCGGTAAGCGTTAGACAATTTTACCGTGGTCCGGGGGTAGATTGTTTACTTGCAACTTACATGTAGCATCGTACCAACAACATAACATGAAAATAA